TTTGGAAATAAAATAAATCCACCCAAGAAACTCATTCACGTCACCTTTTCTTCTTCAAGATTTCAGAATCCTTTCTGCTCAGAAGCTTCCCGGCTTTAAGTTGCAGTGAACGCAGAATGTAATAAAGCCATACAAAACATACATTTTTAGTGTGAACTCGTTGAAGATAGGCGATCGTTGATGGCAAAACAGATAAAACTACGACGCGATCAACAACGCCAGAGGAACAGCATTGACGATAGACACAGTTCGGACAGCGCAGGGGATCATGAGATGAGTGGTGAGTATGTAATCTAGTAAGCGTTTTTTGGGCTAAACTTACTTCTACAAGATTTCGTAGCTTTTGCATGATCCATTGTTTTGATTTAATCACATAATACATAGAACACTCCGAAACTCTCAAACATTTTAAAGCGTATCTTGGAAGTTCTCCTTTTCGGAATACATCCACACCATTTTGATCTCGTTTTCAGCGTCGCCAAAGACGCATAGGGTGAACCTAAGAATTTCCAAACTACTTGATTTGGTTCATTGCTATTTTACTAGTAAATTGTGAAAGGAGAAGTTCCAGAGTTACGTTAAACCGCCTAGTTACACTCAGATCAATCCTGGGGCTAATGTCCCTGAACGGAATCAACAATTAATTTTGGACAAACTCCGCATTTTTCTTAAAGAGAAGTATCAGACTCTAAGCTTCTTTGGCTTAATCTTACAGCGTGCAGATCACTGTTGCATCTGATCTACAATTACAGTTTTGGGATGAATTGTAATTATTGAGTGGGTAAGAACATCTGCATTTGCTATCGTGATGAAAAACCCTACCTCTCCATTTTTCTCAAAACCAAAAATAAGAAATTTTAAGAAGCGTAGATATTTTCATTTCAGAACCTTCCTCAGCTGAGGTCTCTCCTTCACCTCGAATCGAGCTACCGCACCCCGTTCCCGTCTACCCATGTGCCCCAACTTCACTCACGTCGTCACAAATCCCCCTATCAATGGTTCTTCCACAACCTCCGGTGCTACCAGCGGTTGCAAATCCGTTTCTTCTTCCATTGCCTCTATTTCAAATCTTTGCGCAACTGGCACAAAATCCGCACTAGTACGGAAGCCAGCACTGTACCATAATCGCTTTTCTGTATCTACTAGTAGACTAGCCTTATTACTCACGTCATTATTAGCAAAAAATGTCTTTTGTGTCATATTCAACCCTTGTGGGTATTCTGGAATACGGTTGCGGGTGGTGTTATGAATAGGAAGTAACAAGCCTCCACCATCCTAACAATCCAACAATGTTCCAAACCAATCAGCTTGTAGATTTAGCAAATAGCCAGGTAGTTGGCAGTGAGCCAACTGGTGGTGGTTAATTCAGGTAACGGTCTCTTGGCTCTTGTTATCATTGTCCCTCGGACGATGTCCGGCATCTCTCGGGTGGGATGCAATCCCATTTACTACGGCATACGACGATCAACGTTCGTCGCTAAATTGTTAACCTTTGCTGTTTGTTTTATCCTGTTTCCTCATTCCTTATCCAGCAGTCGATCGATTATCGATCATGATCATATACGCATACTGTTCACGCTCGCATTCGTACCAATGCTATTTGTAGTTATAGTGAGATGGAATCCATCGTCGTTTATAGACATTGTTTTACAATAAAATGTGTCGACAAGTATTTTCGATATTTGACTACCAATAAACAATGACAACGAAAAAGTCAACAACTTTAACTAATGATGGGTAAGAATCGCATTTGAAGTGTTCTCAACAAGAAACAATGAACAAAGATGGAAAAACGACGAAATGAAGCAACAGAGCCGAGTGGAAATTTATAGTCGTTCGCTGGAACGAGACGCTAAATTACGCAGATTCCCATAGACTTTGGATGGTGGTGCGCCTATAAGAGATATCAATGTTTTTTTGGTGCAATTTCAATTCACTAGAATTCGAAAAAAAATGAGAAGCTGTTTAACAAAACAAGCAAACGATGACCCACCTAGGATAAGGCTAGAAATGGCATTACGAGCGAGTTTAAGATTTTGGAAAGCACCCAGTATATGTATCTTTGTATCGGCCAACACTGTAAAATCAGTTAGTTTTGAAAAGTCGTCATTTAAGATTAGGTACACCTACCAATTCTAGTTTTTGTGACGTTTTCTATAACAAGCTTAGTTCGTCCATCTTTTCCTGCTATTCGACCAACAGCACGACTGAGGTTGTCACCCTTCAGCGACGATTTCACATCTGCTACCTACAAATAACTTTGCGACATATGGGCTGACAGTGGCATCTCACATACCTCAAAAGTCTCTAAGAACAGATGATCAAGACGAATTAGAGCCAGAGCATCAGCAACATCGAATCCAAGCATAAACGCACGCACAAAATCAGCAGCCTGGATTGCACTGTCTTTTAAGGTCATTCAAAATCAATAAGGCATGGAGAATCCAAACTTTTTGCAAATCCGTTGTATCTTCTTTATCTCCTGGGTTCCTGATCTCCACATTCCTTGTCTTCATATTGAATCTATGACATGATGTATATCGTTAGTATTTATAGAGAACTCAACTAACCTTATTTGTAATCCTAAGTTCTTCACTATTGGTGTAAATATATTCACCCAATTATCCTTCAATGGCGTATAGCGGTGTTTGGGTACAGGAATCTAAATCAAGGCAAAATTGGTGGAACGAACATTACAATATTTGCACGGAACGCATACTCCTATTCGCTTTTTATGAATAACCTAGTCCTCAAAGCAAGACAAGCAGAGATAACCTTCCGCATTTCGCCTTTCTCTCCTTTGGATTTTTTCGTCCGGTGCAAAGACGCTTCATCATTGATATTATCACCATCTATCCCCACAGCACTGCTAGCCTCCTCCATCTCAACATCTTTTGGATGGTTCTTTCGTTTTCTTTTTGATATCTGAAAAAAAATGTAAATGGCGGTAAATTGCTACGAGAGGACTCAGCAGGGGTTTCATATGTTATATTCTAGCTCTGCGGACCACTTTGTTGAACTTTTTCACGTAGTCGGTATTGTGCTTTCTACAAATATTACCAGTAACGTAGCACGTAAGATGGCAGGTATTCAAAAAAAGAACTTTTATGAAAACGAGTTGGTGAAACTTCCCCTTGTTCGCTACTGGCAACAATGCCCAAGAGATAGTCCATTCAATGGTCCACTTGTCACGATCAAATGCTTGCGAACTATATGATGGATTTTCTAATTGTATGCACTTGAAAGATAGCAAAATTCGTATTCTTTATAAAACGCGTTAACCATGGAGTAATCAATATCCTAACTTTTGTCCCATTTCTTTTTTCTTTTTTTGAAGAAGGTGAAAGAAGGAGTGAGATGGGGGCGCGACACCGAAAATCATTGGCCACACTGGTAAACCCCGCCTGTTGGTTTACCCGTTTGGAAAATTTTGAGTTGCTCCGGAACTTTTCTGTGTCCTCCCTGGTGAACTTTGCGTTTCGCTAGTATAGGTCATCCTTACTTCATTTCTAGAGGTTTTGTGAAAATTCAATATTACTTGTGCAAGTTCCTGTCATTGAAAATTGTTTCTAGAATTTAAAAAATGCCTATTCCACTGGATAGAGTCAAAGCACAAATAAAGTGTGAAAGCCAATTTGTGGTCGGATGTATTCTTTGATTATCGAAGTAATCCTTCGTGCCTTATTGCCAAAACTCTCAAAAAACTTCATTTATTGAAAGCGTAGCACATTTGTACAGAGGGGCATTTGTAGTATGAAAGTCGAATAATATGCTGTCTTTCAACAAATAAACTTTTATTGGTTCAACTTCAAAAAAGTGACTCCTCAGCCTACCTTACAACAGGGAAAGGGTATATCAGAAATCGTTGTGCTTGCGATATGTTTCGTGGCACCTATATAATTGCAGCGTTATGCTTCAAAATAAGGTGCGTTATCGGGTCATTATTATTAAGGTTTTTAAAAAACCTTAATTTGATGTGGCCGCTTCTCAATCCTACCTATCTTGAGAATTTTGAAATATTTGAAAATGTCGATGGTATCAATGATAACACAGTCTCCCCTAGTACCCATCAATAGCTGGGATGAAAGACGCACAAGAGTATAAACAAGAGCGAAATTTACCAACGTAGAAAGGATTCAAAGATAAAAAAGTTATTCATGGTAAAACGTTAAGCACAATTTTTGGAACATCTTATATTTCACGAGTCAGTATTTCCACTAATAGAAGAGCCAAGCAAGAGCATTTAAGTATGGCCGCATTTAAGCGTCAGTGTAAAGCATTAACAATCAGAATACGAACCACCGATGAATAGTACGCATTCTTCTCTCTGGGGCAATACGACCCACTGATGGATCGCAGGGACTCATAAAGCTTATTCTTTTCACGTTTCCAACAATTTTCCAATATCTTTCGCTATCATGTAGCACTTATGAAGATGATGATAAAATGCGTTGAAGTAAGCAATTTCATCAAACGGCACAGGCGGGATTAAGCGTTAATATGTCGCCAACTAGTAGGGAGGAGGAA